ACAGCCCCCAACTCAGATTTGAAGAAAAATAAGAGGATGACTGTTTTCTGACTTGTCGACAGACCGCCGACCGGTCGGCGGAAGGCAGCTATGCAACCCTGCTGGGTGCATAGTGGTGGTTATAAATCATTTCAAATTTTCAACAAAAGATTGCCAAGCATTGGGTACTAAATGACCTCCATTCACGGGGGCAAAATAAAATAAAAGCAAAAAAACTAAAGTAAAGCAGTTAAAACTTAAAAGCACCAGTATCAAAAGGGCCCTTTCTTGTTACAGCCTGTGGGTTGATATGGCTGCTGTAGAGGCCTGTGCAAGAATGCAAGGCAAAGTACAACACTTTGAAAATATGAGAGGCGAAAACGTACATAACTAAACGAACACACACGCACGAACACATAAACAGAGGCACACAAAAAGATAGGCACTTGCAAGTTGAGTGAAGCTCTCGTTCGCTCCAGCAAAGTGATTGCAGCTCCAAAGAAAACGACTGGTGGATGCAATCACTTTGCTGCAGCGAACGGAAGTTTCCATCAACTTGCAGGTGCCTATCTTTTTGCAGGCGCCGCTCTTTTTGCAGGTGCCGCTCTTTTTGTGCTGCAGCAAAGTGATTGCGGTTCTGATCAGAAACGGGTTGGTCGATGCGACTGGTGGTGTAATGGGCAAAAGAAAGAGAGGAAGGAGCCTGTCATGGCGGCCACAGCCCGCCAGGAAGGATGGTTATTTAATATTTATTCATGACAACTTGATGATGTAAGCCAACACAGCAGAAAGAGTCAATGAAGACACAATCAATATGATGACTTGTTGCAACCCCCAAGACAAAGACTGGTTAAGATGATTCTAATTTCTAAGGATCTAAACTTCTAAAGAGAGGTTTGTGTAGAGGAATTAGAATTGGTAAATGAAACCACAGAAGGACGAGAGAAATTATCTTATCATGCTCTAGAGCAAAGTCCTTTTACCAGCTGGCCTTTTAGCTCAGTTGGTACACCACTGAACTGCTGAAATGCAGACCTGAGTTCGAACTCCACTGGAAGCAAATGAGTACTAAAAAATAAAAAATGCTGCAATTTGCCAATTTCGAATTACCTAGGGCTGGTCAGTTCAAGTGATGATATCTCCAGGCCGTAGTCCTTTTTTTTTTCTTTTTCTTTTTTAAAGAACAAAGACTTACAAAGTCCGTTTTGTTCTACAAAGAACGTGGAGAGGAAAGAAGAGAGGAAAAAAAAAAGGAACAGAGTCAACGGACACGAGAGCAGACACAGACGAAGACAGAGGCCCAGACAAAGGGAAGCAAATGACAGGGTTGCCCTGAGGAAATACTCACCAAGGAACTCGATAGCATCGCCGGGAAGGTTCATCACCACATGGGTCATGAAGACAGCCGATGAGCCCTTCAGGACTTCTCTGATGAAATCCCAACCGTCCATCTGGTAGATCTGTACAATGTGTTCGCCAAATAAGCTGGTTAGGAATGCATAAAACCATGACTCTGGCGCAGGTTCCCGGAAAAAGAAGGTGCAGAGGGAAGAGAGGACAAGAGAGAAAACTGGAGGTTGGAGGGTTAGAGGAATCGCGGGTTGTCAGAATCTAGATAGAATCTAGATAGAAGGAAGTAAAGGTGAGAATACTAGGGTTTAGGGTTAGGTTCAAATGGATGAAGGCTCACTCTACCAGTGTCCCCCAGCGCCCACAGAGAGGACCACGGTTGTACCTGGACTGTAAGAGTGCAAAGGGGAGTTGCAAACGGAAATTGCCTCAAGATCAAGAACACACTGCAACGGGCAAGAGGGAGTCTAACAGATTCGCGCACCAAAATCGTCTTGTCCACAAAACCAGTGAAAGAGCAGGATCCATTTCCTTGTTTCCACTTCCTGCAACACTCCCTTTACCATTGTGGGTGTCGCTGTGTCATCATCATGTCACATAAACGAAAACTTACAGAGCTGAACAAGCCGGCCTAGCCCAGTTGGTAGAACACATAAGTGGTATTCAGGAGGTCGTGGGTTTGATTCCCGACGTCATCCATTCGGTTCCCCACGCCCCCTGGGGCGCACATTGAGTTCACTGCCTGAGATAGCTGGCTCGCCCCCCCTCGTGGGCTGGGTAGGGGTAAAGTCACAACCCCTTCCATCCACACTAGGGGTTAGGTTCAACCCTGAGGGGATAAGCTCAACCCTGACGGGGTAGGTAGGTGGTAGCCCAGGGAGTAAAGTTCAATAAACTAGGGAAATGCAGACCCATATTATCGTCAAACAGAGCTGCCCGGTAAACCGTAGGCAGAGAGGGAGAAGAGGACAACAAACGTGGGGCTGTGACAAACTGTTTCGTCGGAGTTTCACCGACTCATCAGGAGGCTGTAATGGGGGAATAATAATAGAATATCTGAATATATAGGATTTAAAAAAATTATATATATATTGAGCGCATGGAAGACCTAACTGAGCATTCTCAAAACAACAACTGCCACGACGGCTGGCATTAAGCATGCCAACCATACATTCCTCACAAATAGCATGTCTATTGCAGGCCAGAATAAAGGAAGAACGCCCCCCACAAAAGAGCATGCATTCAGCATAGCGTCCGTGGCCACAAAATGGACATATAGTGTCCGGATGAGGAGGGTGCCTGCAGTCAGGAACGGA